AGAATTCATTTGTTTAGTCAATTACCAAAATTTGGATGATTTTGAATATTCACTTGAAAAGTTATCAAAGAAAAACATTTTTCATTTTGTAACTTCAAGGGCCCGTAACTTGGTTACGAAGACTTTTAGGAAAAAAAGTTATATGAAGTACTGGTGATATTTTGACCCCATCTATACACTCCCGAGAGGATAAGAGGAAGTCCAGGGACACCCTGTATAGTTTTGTACTTTGCTGGCAGCCAAACTAGACAACAGTAAAAGGAAACAATAATAAACGAGGGTACAATATACAAGGTCTGTTCAAAAAATAAGGTGAATTTTCAGTTTTCTCAAAAAATATTTATTTATTTAGAACAGACAAATATGCAAATAAAATTATCAAATGATATAATAAATCCAGTGAACGTAGTCACATTTCCCAAAAACGGAAAATCGCTTTTATGAGACTGAAACACTTATATAACTATAAAAATGTTGTCGCCCCCAGTATAAAATATAAACTTTGTAACACTTTAATACTCAACTTATTCGACTAAGCCTATGTAGCATATACACATTCTGTTGCTGCATCTACAGCCAAGCAAATTCAACACGTTCAAAACACATGTATGTGTGGTATATACCATCTCGAGAACACATTACTCCGTACCTAAATAGCCATTCTGAGCTCAATATGGAGAAATGACGGGAACTCCATGTCTACACTCTAATTCACAAAATTGTAAATCAAAACGAGCCAATCTACCTCGCAAAAAAGCTCAAGCTAAACAGTCATGCACACAGAACTAGACATCATAACACAAATTTTGTCTTTCCAATTCACAGGACCGCTACTTATAATAAATCTTTCACTTGTGTAGCCGTACAACGTTGGAATGGTTCATCTGTTGAAATAAAAAACTGAAATATCCCAAATTCAAAAAGGAAATCAAACAAACTACTGAATGAACAAAGACTCTTTAGATGAAATATTTTGGTATTTTGGTATTTTTCATGAAAAAACAACTCCCACACCTTTTCCAAGTAATAAAGGCACACCTCCTCAACAACGCTGGAGATGATCGTTTTCGAGCTATTTACAATTTTCTATAAAGATGCATATTACTTAGCTCCTAGGGCGCTAAGTGAAGTTGCTGAGAACATTACAAAAACTAAATATGTGGTGGATCTCGTCAAAATAAACAACTTTTTCCTATAAAATATTCAACGAAGAATGATTCGTTTTCGAAATACAGATTGTTGAAATTTTTCAAAGTTGTCATAGGTTTTTTGCAATTTTAGTTATTTTCATTAAACATATTATAGAAAAAAGTTCCACCACATACTTATTTTTTGTAATGTTCTCAGCAACTTCATTTAGCGCCCTAGGAGCTAAGTAATATGCATCGATACAGAAAATTGTGAATATCTCGAAAACGATCACCTCTAGCGTTGTTGAGAAAAGGTGTACCTTTTTTACTTGGAAAAGGTGTGGGAATTAAGTTTTTTCATGAAAAGTACCAAAAGTTTACTTTCAAAAAAGTTAGGGCAATTTAAAATAAATAATAACAGCATACGCAGCGCCTTCTAGATGTTACATGAAAATTAATACGAAATTATGATTTCCCACGTCAAAAAAACCTCGGGTACAGAATTTCGTGTAAATAACTTATTTTTTGCAAGAGTTATTTTCAAAAAGGAACAAAAAAATTCAATTTCAACACCCCGTATCTCCGAAACGAAGCATTTTCGGACACAAGTTCATATAGACTTTTTTCTTAAAATTGTCTCATGAATACGTCACTTGAATATTTTAACGTACTTATGTTACACCCTGTATACATGTACTGTCTAGTTATTACAAATATTTCAAAGAGCAATAAGAATTCTTCAATAATTTCATTTCTTTTTTATTTTCCCAGGGGGAAGTGGAAGAGCAACTACGTTGAACTTCTCTCCATTTTGACCTCATATTCATAGAATTTTAAATCCAATGTATCCGACATAATTATGATAAATTATTTGGGTGAATATACGTACTATTATCTTTATTATTATTATTATTTATTCATCAATGTTTATTTTGTCCCCTTCGAAGGAGTCCTCTCCAAACCGAATATAAATAATAATGCTTCGATAAGGTTGTTGGGAGTTAAAATGGACACCAATATGTCTTGGCACAATCAAGTCGCTGAAATTGCTTCTCAAAAGCTTGGAACACTGTGGCTGCTCATCGTTTTAAAGTTCAACTCAGTACACCTTCAACTTCACTGTTTAAGAACTCTTTCATCTGGAGAACTGTATTCATGTAGAATGAACTTTCTGAGAACGTTTTTCCAAATGGAGTTAATCTCCAGCGATTCAAATCCAATGTGAATCGCTATTTTCGCACAGGCACCGATCTTAGAGCGATTTAAGGATTTTCCTGTAGTGCTTGTGTTTTGTCCTTGAAAAATACACTTGTGTCAGCTTTTTTTCAAATCCTCGAAGCAATTGGTATGTATGTCTTTGAGTAATTCAGTTTTTATCTCCTCAATCGTCGCAAAACGCCGTCCTTTCTTGAGTCTCTTTCAATTTTTAAACAAGGAAAACAACCTGTGCTGCAGCAACCTGGGTTGCAATTGAACCCAGGTTTGTGTTTAATAAACCCTACAAAATACAAACAAAACAGAACACAGAGTCAGATGCTACAAATGCAATACGCATATACACAGACGGCTCAAAAACCAAGGAGGCTCAGGATGTGGAGTGGACTCCAGATCAGTAAGCCTAAGGATTAAGTGGGGAATAGGAAAAAATACCAGCGTGGTTCAAACAGAACTGGCTGGCATCTCAATCGCCACAAAAGAAATAACCAGGAAAGGAATTTCTGGCACAAGTATAACAATCTGCACTGAATCTGCACTAATAGCAGATAAACCCTATTACCCTTGAACAGACAACGTGTTACCTCAGGGCTAGTACAAGAGTGCCACCAAGATTTAGCCAAAGCCTCGACAGATAATAACATTATCCTGAGGTGGATTAAAGGGCACGACAGGATTAAAGGTAATCGCATTGCCGAGTCTTTAGCCAAGCAGGCGGCTGGACTAAGAATTTTAGGACCCAGTGGCACCTACGGCCTGATGACTTCGACAATTGCGGAACCAGCCATATGTTACACCCACGCTCAATCCCTAAAGAGATGGGATGGAATCAAAAGATGCAATCTTGCCAGGATCACCCTGGGCAACCCTGAGAAGCTGGCGCCGAAGAAATATCTGGCGATGACCAGGAAAAATCTACGCTTAACAGTAGGATTTCTGACTGGCCACTGTCAACTAAGGAAACACCTCCACAATATGGAGCTAGGGGACACACCTCTATGCAGGATGTGTGAACAGGAAGATGGAATTGTCAAGCATGTCCTATGCGAATGTCCGGAGTTATCGTCAATGAGAGAGTGTGTGTTCGGCGAGTCTTGGCCTACACCTGCCGATATAAAGGATATGTCCCTCAGAGACTTGTCCACCTTCCTGGAAAGGACAGGATGGACGATGACCTAGGAGGACAACTCCTTGAGAGGATATACAATGGGTCACATGTGGCCTAAGTGATGTGGGCCTAACTCACCCTCCCTACTCTACAGATACAGGGATACAGATCTCCTCAATCGTCGCAAAACGCCGTCCTTTCTTAGGTCTCTTCAATTTTCAAACAAGAAAAGAAGCCAAATCCGGTGAATACGGTGACTACGGCATGATGCAGTGTTGTTTTTGGCCAAAATTCATCAATTTTTAACAAACTTCGCTGTCACACGCTTCATGCCCAAAATTTGCTTAAAAATTGCATGACATGGGCCAACCGATATGCCGACTACGTCAGCAACTTCTCTTTTATTATTCGACGATTTCCTATAAGAATTTTCTTCGCTTCCTCAACATTTCCATCGGTGGTTGATGTGCTGGGGCGTCCAGGGCGACCGTCGTCAATCAAATCTTCTCGACATTCTGTGAAAGCGTGTACCGCTAGTAAACATTTTTTGACTCAGAGTACAATCATCGTATGCCACTGTCAATGTTTCAATTGTTTTTGAGCACTCGATTCCATTTTTTACACAAAATTTGGTGCAAATTCTTTGATCCATTTTTTTCGATAGCAGAAAATCTCCGAATATTCAACCAACGCAAAACACTTCCAACTTTCATGCCTCTCACCGACAAACTGAACATGCTAAACTGCTGGAACTGTGAACATATGTTTGAGACGAGTATTCTAACGAGTGTACCCGCGAAATTTTAACATTCACCTCATTTTTTGAAGAGACCGTGTTTACTCGGAGACGATTTTAATATCATTAATCAATAGTAATACCACAAGACAAAAATTTTATCGATTAATTTCCATTTTTCAACTTAAACATTATTAAAGAAGACAAAATCTGGGCAGAGAGGTCGTGGTCGAATTGAACTTGAACTACCAACCAACCGTTTCGTTTGCTACTGCGGCAGACACCGTTAGTGGTATGTGCATTGACTGCGAGGACAAAGGTTATATGTCGTAGTTGCTGAAACTTTCAGAGATTTTGGGATTAAAATTACTTTTCTAACTTGATTATAAACCAACTAATCAGGTGTGTTTCGTTGGCATTAATCTTCCTCCAGATTGGATTATTCCCGACAAAAGTTATTCGTTATCTATGCTCGATCATTCAACATTAAACACAAAAAATATTGAACTAATTCTTGGTAAGAATCATTACCATACTATTGAAATTCATCAATATTAGTAGATAAAGATAATTGTCTGATACAATCATAAACAAACAACAAAACAAAAAAAAATCACAATATCAAGTGAGGGGCTATCGCAGTTTTAGTTATTACAAAAAATCATTTGAAAAAAATATTGTATGCAACTCAACAAAGTTGCAAGTTTCTGCAATCTTTCATTTGTTAACTGCGATACCTAATATTTGTTTTTAACAGCGAATCATTTCATTTTTTATGAGTTTACACAGAAACATTTGTTCTTTTCTTGATTATTGACATTTATTAGTACATCATCGTCTTTTCCGAGTAATTAATATTTCATCATAGTGAACAAAGAATGAAATGAATTGTCTAGACCACGTTAGCAATTCCTCATTGAAATAGTTTCAGGAATGAAAGGAAGTGTACAATTCAAAAGACCATTTTAATTTCATATCAGAACTAGATAAGAGAGTGATTATGCATTAATATTTTACAACAGGAAATTGAAATGCCAGTGAAATGATTTTGCCTGTAGGAATTCTTTGGAGATTACAATATCACTCGAAAATTTTATATTGAGATATGAAAGACATTGCAATTTTTATTGACACCATTTAGGATTTACTTGATATGATTTACATATTTTCATATTATTTTAGGATATGGTATAGAATTTTGGGGTATGGTTAATTTAGCACCGTCCATATTCATTATTTAAAACAGGGCTATACATACACGTTCTTTTCGATATCAAACCAAGGGAATCTTGCAGAAATTACTTCAAAAATATTGAATATATATTTCGTTTATTGGTTTCAATACGAAATTTGGAACAGTGTTTCCGACATATTCATTTTGGTTGTTGTGCTGGGGCGTCGAGGACGAGCGTCGGTATTCATATCTTCTCAATCTTCTGTGAACTTGTACCACTTGTAAACATTTTCATGACTCAGAGTACAATCACTGTATACCACTGTCAACATTTCAAGTGTTTTTAAACACCTAATTCTAATTTTTACACAAAATTTGTTGCAAATTCTTTGCTCCATTGAACTCAGAAACAAAATATAAGCGAAGAAATAAAACCCTGGTTCAATTTCAACCAGCTAAGCCTCAATTTAAGGAAAACAAGTCATTATAGATTTCACCCTCAGGGATTTCAGTGGGGATATAGACAACATAAAATTCCTTGGACCCTTTCTTGACACAAAACTAACTTGGAAACATCATATTCAAGTACTATCCAAATGACTTGCTAGCATAACCTTTCAATTGAAAAAACTCTCACAAACAGGTACCACAGAAATATCCAGAGTTGTCTATAAATGGTCTATTTCAGAGCCAAATCTCCTACGGAATACTACTATAGGGAAACGCAAGATACAAGTTGTTACCAGGTGATCTGATGTCTTTTAAATCAATCGATACTGTTGTTGATGAAAATGAAAGTGTAAATTTTCCAATTGAATTTTTAAATTCACTAGATATACCTGGAATGCCACCACATAATCTTCGATTAAAGATTGGTTCCCCTATTATTTTCCTACGTAATTTGAATCCACTTCAATTATGCAACGCTACTTTGGTCATCAAAAAGATCACCGGAAATATTCTTGAAGCAACCATTTTAACTGGGAAGTTTAAAGGAAAAGTGGTCCTGTTGCCACGTATTCCAAGGATACCGTCAGATTCTACTATACTCTTCAGAAGGCTACAGTTTCCAATTCGTTTAGCTTTTTCTATGTCTATAAATAAGTCTCAAGGTCAAACAATGTCCATTTTTGGTTTAGATTTGGAAAATCCATGTTTTTCTCATGGGCAGCTATATGTTGCATGTTCACGTGTAGGGAAACCGTCGAATCTATTTGTGTTAGCTAAAAACAGGTTAACCAAAAATATTGTGCACCGATTAGTGCTAAATTAAATTGAAATTAAAAGTATTTATAATTCAAAATAATAAATATTATTGTTAAAGATTTAAGACTATCTGCCCTACCTTGACTATCTACCTCATTTCTAAGTTCAAGTGTCACATGTTATTTACTAACAACTTTGTAATATGGATTTTTATACCAGCTTTAACGTTTCCGTCTTCGTTCATAAATAATAATTTTATTGTACTAAGGGGTTACGCTAGTAGAAAATCCATCATGGAGGTCGCCATATTTTTTTATAAATAGCATCTATGTAGAAAGCATAGTGGTCCCCATGACTGATGTTCTCCTACCGTTCCTCTTAAATAGTTTACTACAATGTACTATAACAAGAACCTTAGCCACAGCAACGCGTGGCCGGGTCTGCTAGTTGTATCTATGACATAAATGTGTGAATGTACATGTATTCTATAAGGTCTTACGTATAAGCAAACAAGAGAACAATTTTTTAAGACGATGCTAAAACATATTTTGTTATCTTGAACAAATTAAGTATTCTATCCATTTTTTTTTGATAGCAGAAAATCGCCGAACACGCGAAACACCTCGAACTTTTATCCCTCTCACCAACAAACTAAACGTGCTAGTCCGTGCTACACAGTTGACACATACTATATATGGAGGGTTCAGAATACAAGTGAACCAAGTCCACTTTTGGTCATTTTTGAGTTAGCAACGCTATAACATGCTCCAACTATGTAAAATTTCAAAGGTGCCCAACATGGTTTTCATAGACTGTTTTTTTTAGCAGTTTATATGAATAGTTGTTATGTTGAGCAGTGTATACACGCTTTGGTTGAGATTGTAGTAGGGAGAAATGTCATTAGTGTCAAATACTACGTCATCATTATAAAAAATGAAACTCCTGGACACCGACATCAAAGGGACCGACGCTGAGTGAAACTACTGTATACAGAAATACTGTGCTGTGAATGTATGTTTGGGATGAGAGTACCAACATAAAAAAATCGCTAATCGACTGTACGTAGCCCGCGAAATTTGAACATTTCAAGCATTGCTTCCTCTTTTGTCTTTGATATGGATGGCAGTACTGACATAGGCTTGAAGTCATTACTAGAGTTTTTTTTATATTTGGATTCATTTTGGCCACTTTTAAATTCCAGATAAATTGCTGAATTCAAGCATGATTCAATAAAACCAGTCAACTGCATAACAAACTATCTTTCCAAAAATTATAGGTAGAATTTGATTAATGCAAGGTGATTTACTCTTTTTCTCAAGCAATACTATATTCTGCTCAGTATATGAATTCCTGAAACTCTAAAACTATATCGAAATCAAATTGACAATTGTATTTTTAAATATTTAGTTCTGTGACATACTCTATTTTGATTTTATTGTAACATTTTAAATTTTAGTAGGTTATGCATAAAAACTACCATTCCTAAAATTTTTCAGGTAGTGGACGGGTTGTTCTCGAAGAAACCAGAAGATTCTACTGAAAAAAACAGCCTGAAAGAGGTTAGGAAATCCGAAAGGATGTGCAAAGGGAAGCGATATGAACTTTTCATGATCGAAGGTAGGTTATTGGGAAGCAAGCGAGAAACGAAAACCATTCAACCCAGGCCTACAAAAATCGATAGCAAAATAGATACGGACCTGAACTCCGTGAGTGAAATCAAACCTGAAACACCAAAGTTAGACTTAGGAAATACCATTAAACGCCTCGCAGAACGTACTAATACTAAAATCGATTTTGATAATCAAAACGACGTAGATATGATAGAGTCGCCCCATCAGATCAAAAGACTTCGTACCATATCGGAGACGTCAGAAGGAAGCGCGAAGAGCTCCCCACCCGATTTCAATTTAGATTTAAGGATCTCGAATCTTCCAAGCTTGAACTACGAGGAGTTTGTGCAGAGGAAACGAGAGAGCAAGAAACGCAAGATACGCGCGAAGACTGAAGGAGATGTGAAATACAAAATCCAGAAGGTGGTCAAGTCAGAAACGCAGCTAGTCGGATCCAAGAAAAGGAAAAACAAGCAGAGCATCACTCACTTGGGTAAAAAAGAAGTTGCTGTAAGCAACGAGCTTCTAGGATTGGCGACGCTCGCCGAAGTGGCAGCCAATACCGAGAAGATCAACGAAAAATTCTCAGAGTATTAGTATTACGAGTCTCTAATTGAGATTCCGCTTAGACAGGTGAGTTGGAACTTTGAACAGAATTTATGAGTATACATGTGCCTCATATTTATTGTAATCAGCAATAGGGCGAGTAGGGAGGACTGGTGTGGTCGGTACCGATTATTTTATAAGATCTTACCTTAGCTCGACAAATTCCTATGACAGAAATGTATCAGGTCACTGAAATATTTCGAACAATTTGTTGGATTCTTCTCGTTATTTAGTTATCATCAACGTTATAATTCTTCTGTAACCAGGATATTGACTGCACCACTTTCTCGACTACAAATTCTTATAATCTTAAATATTATTCAGTGAAACTATTTGCTTTCCATTTGAGTAATTCAATTGTATGTGGCTCTCGAGTGAAATCAGACGGAATGTTGCTTAGTTTTGTTGTTCAATGTGAACAAAATTAATTTTTTCATGGCGTTTTCAAAATGTTGGAAAATAAGCAATAATAGCATTTGCTAATTCTGATAAACCACCAAGTTATAGGAGAGTATTCTTCAACAAACCATTACTTTGAAATTTTCCAATTACGCTCTTTTAACGTAGTCAAAAAACATACTTCAATGTGAGATCTTCACTTGATAGTGTACAAAACCGCGATTCGTGTTTCGCTATATGATAGCTGTTAGGTAATAAGTGGACTGTAGAAAAAGGTATACTGAACTTTGTACAAGATTTCTGGATAAATACATCTAATAGACAAGACGGTCTTTCATATGACACAATACTAATATTCTCTTGTTTTCGCACTGGGTTTTCTGTTGGCAGGTATAAAGTGCCATGGGCGTCCGGCCACTAGTTTTTAGTCGTTAACATCTTCAGACGTCAGTATCGTGACGCCCGAAGTGAAAATCTCACATTAAAGTATGTTTTTTTGAAAACATTATAAGTATCAGTCAGTTCTATATTGTTTCCGTTATTTCAAAGTTGGAAAGCATTCCCGTGTTCTACATTTTGGTTAGAACAAATTCCTAATATGTGACATGAAAATTCTGTCTCTTCTAATTCAATAGAATTATTGGATGAATAAGCCATAGCTTATGGCAATCATAACTCGTAGAATTCGCCACTGTTGGAACACTGTTGTCCATTCATAAGAAAAGGACCAAAATGGTAAAGAGGATAATAACCTAGAAAGAAGAAGAAGAAGAATTGACAAATGACAAGTTAAATGGCATTGCTGTAAGGGGGTATTTAGTCAGCTCAATAATTGATATAAAACAATTGTTGTCATTTTTATTTCAAAAATTAAAGTATTATGCCTGACTTCAGATTATAGATACGTGAAATTCAGACTAGACAAACTATTGAAATTTATTAATATCCATTGAAGAATATCTTATTTTATGGATATTCATTTCGCGATCAAGGATATTTAAATCTGAATAAAAAATAAATAGACAATCCCCGGGTGGAAAAGTGATGCAAAAAATATTTATTCAATTTTGGATAAGAACTGGAATGATTGAAAGAATACATACCTCTTTAAAAATTTTACTAGTATATAAATTTCACTAGAATTATGCATACTAAGTTGTTTCTGTTTGGTTTCTACTTCTCAGAGACTGATACATTTCGAATTATAGTTATTCAAATAGAATTTTCTGTTTTCACTCGTTTAAACTTACACTTATTCTGAGTTTTTTGAAAGCATGATACACCTTATTGAAAGGTTTCTTATTTTTATGTGTTACACCCATTCTGTTGTTAGAATTATCATATATTTCTATTTAACTATAATACAAACATGTCTGTTTGAATTGAATAATCTTTAATGTTAATTTGTGGTAGTTGAGTTTTTTCAATAATTGTTTTTGTATATTTTTGTTGTTTTTTGTTATGTTAACTTAATATTACTATATTAAAATACCAAATCATGCTAGTTGGAAATATTTATGAACATAGTTATAGTTACATTTTTGTATTGAATATTTTAACATTGATTATGTTATACTTATCTTTACTGACTATATCATGAGATTTCTATATATACATATAATGATCTGCATTAGATCTAAAAACATATTTACTAACCATATTATGATATTAATTTATAGTATTTAGTTTCCTAGACAATTATGAACTGTGCGCATTTCTGTGAATTCGAGAATTTTTCATTCCTTTCGTAAATAATGTACCTAATTTATTTTCATTTTTCAAATACTCTTCCAGAAGTATGACTTCACAAGTAATGACAGTTCATGATCGTTGAAATAATAATATTACTTGAAACAGATACATCACAAGTTCATAGAGAGCTAGCTTGAATGATTTTTGCTACTCCTATGGAAAGCCGATAAAAGGACCTTGCCTCACTTACTATGGAATAGTCCCCATTTTCTTGCAATCGTACAAAAAAAAAGATTAATTTTCTAACGAACTTTGCTTCTGCTGATCAATTTTATGATTCTGGTGGCTATACTGGGGTCTGGTTGACATAAAATTACATGGAATAGCGAAGTTGGCAACATTTTGTTATTTTTGAAATACGGATCAGCAGGTCCTTGGTAATAAGCAATTTGAGTTTGAGGATTCACAAACAAACGACAATTATATCAAAATGTCTGACGTTTGACCTTGCTTGTGTACAATTAAGGACAGGTAGCCAAATTCAATCAATGTCCATTGACTCTTTTTTCTGTGGAAATTACCTAAGTGTTCTTGAACTTCTATTACCTCTCTATATACTCTTGGATAGTAATTTTGAGTTTCATCAAGTATTTGTGTATCTTCAAATGGGAGCACATTCGGCTCAAGCTGATTTGTCGGTTTGTCACAGGTCACAATTTCTCTTGTGTTCAGAGAGACGGATCCTATACTTTCTTTCGTGATTTCAATGTAGACTGACTGCAGCTACAAAGGATCTAGTATAGCCCGGGTATTGCTGGGGTTCTCTGGGGTCCTTAGCTGCAGGTCAGTCTACATAGGAACCACGAATAGAAGTATAGGTACCCGTCTATCTGAACACAAGAGAAATTGTTGACTCGGACGAACCGAGAAATCAGCTATAGTTGAACATGCTCTCACAGAAAAAGAAGGCACTACATTATCTCATTGGAGGATACAGTAATACTCGACAAAACTCAAAGTTACTATCCAAGAGTTTATAGAGAGACAATATAAATTCAAAAACACAAGGAAATAGTTTTTATTGTTTAACTTCCTTGCAATGAAAGTGAATGTGCCTTTTATAACTTTTTCGCTGTTTTAATTTACAGAGGGATAATGAGTTTGACTGGTGAATGTTTCGTTTTCTAAGAAGAAAACATTTCAGTACAACAGAAACGGTATTTATAATAGAAAACAGAGGATTTGGGATTGTAAGACTAGTTGTCAAAAAATTATATCATTTACTTATAACATTTCATGTCTACATTTTCTAATTGTGCTTGAAAATATTTCTAACTAATTAAAACATGATACTTTGTAGAATGTCTATTTTTGAAATTTAATCAGTAATACTTCTTAACTACTAAAGAAAAGTTCATAACAACAATACAACAGAAACTTGCCTACTCCATTGCTTGTGAATGTGGTTTTTGGGACTCTCGACTATATTCATGTGATTGTATCTGTATTGAATAAATTTATAGGCATATCCTTTAGATTGTTACCTTTTTGATCAGCTCGTTATCCTTAACTTCACGATTGTTTCTGCTATTATGATTAGGCCTTAGAAAAGCGACCAAATATGTAGTATAAAGAAATAAGATATATTTATATTTTATAATATAAAAAGCCTTATCTAGTTCTAAATAACATTTGATATAAATAATTAACAAGTTATCCAGTTATGTTGTGTAAGAAATTTTATAAAATATTTTATTGTACTGTTGTTAGAGTGTAGAGTGATTGACCAATATTATGACAAGTTTGATAGGTTTTTCAGCGTTTTTGAGGAAAGGGGTAGAGAGAACGTGATTGGATTGTGATACTTTATTTTTGTATTTACCGGACAGGGATAATAATTTTATTTATAACGTTTGTATAGATTGTGCCTTTTATTTATTTAATAATACAGATTTTATGCCTTTAGAAAGATTATTCAACATGTATCAATTTTAATAAAAGTTTATTGAATGAGGGATTTTGTTTCTTAGTCCCATAACATTTCACCTTTCACCAGAGAGGACGTCAGTTTCTCGATTATATCTTTCTGGGTCGGTTGATTAGAAGAAGTTCTACAGAATGGCCACCCCGACTCCCCGAATTGACTCCTGTTGAAGACACTGTATATAAGTTTAATATTTTATTTTGACAGATTAGTCACTTGTTTTAAGACAATTTAATATTGAGAATTGACTGTAAGTCAAGTCGAATAAAAGTTGCATTACCAGGCTTATTAACCCAAAAAGTTTTAACATTGGTCCTTCGAGTTACTTAAGAACACTCTGTGGAAAAGTCAGCCACTGAATTTACAAAAAAATGTGAAACTGAGCTTCGCAGAAGTTCTAGGTCCAATAAAGGTGTTCCACCAATGCAGAGATGAATGATGCTGATCTAGAGTTAAATACAGTTCCTATGTCTAATTCCGAGTTTTCTCTGACTCTGAAGTAGCGAAAATAGCATCACAAAAATTATTGCCAGCTAAATCGCGGAAAATTTATGAAACCGCGTATTCAAGATTCATGGAATGGAAGATGAAAAAGACATGCAGTTCTTTCTAGGAGACGGTGTTATTGGCTTATTTTTCGGAACTGGCACAACAACAAAAGCCATCAACAGTGTGATCGATCGAATTATTAAATTATTAAAAGTATGTTACAATCCAATAATAATGTAGATATTTCAAAATATTTCAAACTAATTACATTTCTGAAACAAAATGGGAAAGGTTACACGCCCAAGAAAGTTGCGATATTTATGGGTACACATATTAGTGACTTTTTAAATAATGCTCCCGATGAAGTTTATAAGTCACCTGAAGCAGTGGATAATTTAATTCAACTTGAAAATGCCAATTCATATAAAAGTCATTCATTTCGAAGATCGTCTGCTACACTTTTAGTTGAATCTGGGGGAGACTTGATGACATTAAAGAAACGTGGCGGTTGGAAATCATCAACGGTGGCTGAAGGGTATGTTGATGAATCGGTAGCACATAGGATAGAAATAGCTAATAAAGTAATTAGAGCGTTTGGCAGTGCTGAAATAACACACCCGGTTTGCGACCAGGTACATCAACGGCAGTTGTGTCCATGGCAGAAAAAAATATAATTTCTACACAAGAAAATTCGACTGTTGTACCGAATAGTTCAAAGAACATATCGTTCATGCAATGCACATTTAATAATTGTACGTTTGATATAAAGGAAATGTAACTTTTGTTTAGGAAAATAATATTCTAAAATTAAATTTATATATAAGTATAATTATATATATTCTGGTTAAAAGTCAAGTCTGGTTGAAAAAACCAGACATCACCAGAAGATGGCAAATG